ATCAGAAATATTATTTTCTAATTGAGAAATACGATGATCAGTAATCAATTGATTTTGTTTTAAAGATTTAATCTCCCTTTTAAGGTTTTCAACCTCCTATTTTAAATCATCCAAAGAAGTATCTCTTATAATACTTGGTCTTTTCTTTTCAAGTCTAGTAAAAACTTCTTGAATAGAATAAGGACTAGTATTAAAGTTTTCAAAAGATTTTTCCTCCTTCTTTGGTTTATCTAAATTCGAAGAAGAAGATGGTTTTGAAAAAGCCATATTTAAAATTTTGTTTCGAAGATTTTCATCTGAAACATCTTTTAAAAGCTCAATAAAATTCTCTAAAGAAATCATTTTAAAATGTAAATCTTCAAAACTTTGATGTAATTTATCAATATAAGAATCTCCTATCTGAGACTGTAATCTATAAAATTCATCATGACCACAAGTGCAATTACCATCTGGACAATTGGCACAATTGTTAGTAATCTCAATATTGTTATCTGAGATATAACCTGAAGAATTTTCTGATTTATCAGAAGAACTAGAATCTGAATCTGATTCATAAAGTAACTCATAGAGTTTGTCCTGAGTTGATTCATCCAACTCCAAAGCTTTAAACTTCTTAGCTTTGCAATTATTTGCAAGATGACCAAATCGTCCACATTTGTAACATTTAATGTTTTTTAAATCCCTTGTAGAAAAGTTTTTAGCAAACCTTGTTGCTTTTCTATGAGATTTCTTTTCTTCTTTTTTCTCTTTATATCGTTTTGAACGATGACGCCCTTTATGAGGTCTTTCTTCAGGTCTGTTTATTCTTTGTTTTGAACTGGATGGTCCTTCAATACCAAACTGAGTACAGAAATCTCCTAATTGAGATCTCTCAGACTTTTGGGTATTTTTTATCTGTTGAGCAAGTTTAAGCTTATTGCAAAGATTTAATCCTTCTTGGGTACAAGTCCCTATTAACTTTCCATAAGTTAATGTATCATAAGGGATTTCTAAATTATCCCCTCTTAAGACCTTTTTTACCCTTTCGGCAAATAAAGGGGGAAGGCCATCAATGAATTTATTCTTCCAATATTCATATTTACTTTCAGGTAGTTCCATTACTCTACTCATGAAAGTATCTTTATACCATCGAAAATGACCCAAATGTTTACACTTAAGTCCATTTAGAAGAGTTCTAATAGTTTCATTCTGGTTGGAAAATCTTCCATTAAAATGTTCCAAAATAGTTAGAACCAGTGTATAAACAGCATCTTCAACTTTTTTAACTGAAGTCCTTTCCGCTGGTTGACCCTTCTCATCAGTACCGGATTCTCTTATAATTTCTTCCTTGTATGCATTCATAATTGCATACCTTTCTTCGGGTGTTAGGAAATTATCCCACCATCCTCTTAACTGACCTGTAAAACCCGCTATAATCATTTTACAGATAGCATGATCATTATTGTTATTCGTATGACAACAAATTGATGAGTACATCAACATACGATGTACTACAATAGATACCTGTCTTTCAGTTAGGGCATCAATATTCCATTCATAAACTTCATTTCCACTGTATGATGTGTTAGTTTGGTTCCAATCCCTTTCTTCAACTAGCACATCTTGAGG